AGTTGCATCGATATTTTTGAGCATTGAGCCTGCAAAGAAATCGGATCACAGAAGGGAGTGCCATATCTCCAGCATTTTATAAGCGTTGTGAGATCGCTCAGAGAATCGGGCTCAAAAACGGGGAGAAGGGCAGCAGAGGCGTCACCCATGATCCTTGGTGCCATGATACTAGGCAACGTTTCTCCACAGTGTTCATTTCTTGCTTTACTTTGTGGGAACAAATTCTCCGTTGTATCTTGCACACATGCCCGTTCTCCACTCTTGCGCTGTTGGAGCAGGATTGGAGCAAACAAATGAAGAACATTTATTTCTGCTAACAAAAAAACAAAAAAAAAAAAACAAGCAGTTTTAAGAATGCCGCTTGACATTTAGATGGGGCTAGGATTTATTGGTGACGCCTCTGCACAGATAGGCCATACAACCTCTCCTTCCTCTTAAAACACGAATATATTTGTGTTTTAAGGGAAAGGAGAGGTTGTGTTTTTGTAACAGTTAAAGCTATCGACAAGAGAGATTGCATAAAATAGGAGGAGGGGCAGTTGAAACTTCTCTATTACATCGTTCACCTCTTCACCTCGCGCGGCCGCGGGGTAGCATGGAATGGGATGGGATGAATACCTACTTCCCGGAGACTGCCTCCAGGAGTTTAATATTAAAGTATATGGGTATACTATATGGCCATGTAGCAATCAACACTACTGAAGTACTAGTGTGACTGCTCCGTAGGATATGTATTTGCGATGTCTGGGTATGTTCGCAAGGCAAGTGTCGAGTGCATGTTTCAATAGGATGCATTGCGACTATCCTAATGTTCCTGACTTATTTAGTTGTCCTATTGTCAATACCGGTGGGAAAGTTAGAATTACAATCTGTTTTTTACACAATTTCTGTCTACTCTGTATACACTACGGTATAAAAAAGCGCCTACAAAAAAAAAAAAGAAAACGGCCGCAAAATTGTAGACCATGCAAAGAAAAGTGGGCGTATTTTATTTAGAATACCTTTAGCCTCTATTGGTGGCGAGATGTTTTGGTAGCGCCCTCATGTGTTTCCTTCTCGTGACATCATTACCTCGCGAACAACAAGTTCGATCGTGTTTTTAATGACCATGCTGGAAGCTTGAAATCATTGCGCTCCCAAACCAACACTGACAACGCCGTGAAAAGTGAACTCCTTCCATTACTCTTATTTCCGTCGATGAGAAACCCTTTTTTTTTTTGACGTAATAATCAGCATTCGGCCGAGCGGCGCGTCTCCTAATGACGCTCCTCATATTTTCTTACTGAATGAAGAAATTGGGAACATGATCCTTCTCAGGTTTATAATGCGCTCCATCATGTTGGTTCGAAACGTATGCTTTTACGGCTTTCATTTTTTTGTTAAAGCTCTCTGCCATCAAATAGAGTACAATAATAAATACCGGCGTTTCGGACAGGATTGTCTCTGATTTCATACCACGGCTAACATTGATCAGATTCGAGAAACGATGAATAAAGTACCCTCCCCCACTTGACAGAATTGTGTCCCTGTGACGCGACTTCAATCGTAACGTAATTTGACACTGCCTAAACTATATGGCTCCTTGCTGAAAATATCTTCTTGTTTTTGTTCTTCTATTCTGCCGCGTTATAGAGATGATGAGATTAACTTTACGTCATTCCTCTAGCAAGGCCGACTCTACACATGGTTTATTACGATAGAGCTGTTATGTGATATCGGCACGTAAATTTGTTCATCAACATCACAAGACGCGTACAACGTTCGTGACACCGTTTATTAGCGAAGCGCCATTAATGCTTTTTGTGTAATTCGTTCGGCGCATGAACGAGTCAAATTTAGTAAAATTTGGAAGCTTTATCTGCGAAAGTAGTACTCATCTTGAACACGACGGCAGATGACTAAGAATTAATTTTAACCAGCTTTTTTGACGTGCAACCGAAACGTTAATTACATTTCTCCGCATTAAGCCTCTTTCAGAATGCCTTCGCCAGGATTTGCCACCTAGAGAGGCTGGCGCTTACCTCGGAGCCACCGCGGCGGATTGCATAAACAATCGCGCTTTTTAACCAACATAAATGGATACTCGTTTCAGATACGCTACTCTTGCTAACAGGATAATAAGGGCAGGGAGGGGCTTCAGCTGTTTCGCCTCCTGCTTCTTCGACAACACATCGACGGCTCGTGAGCCTGGAGCGCGAACCTGCAGCCAAGGGAAGCCAACATTTGAAAGAGATGCCCGTTCTGTAACTGGCTATAGAAGCAACGCATCGTCTGCCTCAGACACATTATGTGCAAAAGAATGTTCTCAGAATATCCACTACGTGCCTGAATTATTCTGGCGGTTTTGATGGTTATACGCTAGAATCGAAGTCTATCAGTCATGATACTGCACGGTCATAGAAACTAATCGAATCATCCTTTGGGCAAAATAACGAACGAGAGAAAACACATTATGCCTGGATTTGAAAGATACACAACCGTGTTGAGAGATGGCTTGTGAGTGTCGGTTCGTTACCCCGCATCTTGGATAGGTCTGGAATCATTATTACGTGTAACACGAAACTTCTTCAAAGAAGCGAGTCGGAAGGGAGCGAAAAAAAAATCAAATTTCCGTTTTTGGGTGGACCCATTTCCTACCACTTCCGGCCTCCTACGAAAGTCATTCTGAGGTCTTTGCTACCGACTTTCCCGACACCGCGAATATTGGCTTCATAACGGGGCTTTGTGTGTTTACACAAAACGCGTCCACAAACTCCGCTCTCACTTTTTCATCTTTGACGTTCAAGTTGTTTGTAACCGGCGTATATGGCAAATTCCTCGCTTCCTGTTTCATCATTGAAAAAAGCGCGCGTTTATAAACACTAGGAAACTTAAAATCACGAACGTATTTGGAATATATATGAAATGATAGACTTTACATTCTGGCCTGTTCAAGGCAAGACAGCTCTTTTGACCAAAATTTAGTTTGTGTCTAGAAAGTTTGAAGAAGCCAAGGTAGAGCCAAACTTGACTTTTTGGGCCTCAGAACTTTGACACTCATTCGCCAAACAAGTGCCAATGTTAGGCTTCGCTGCTGATAGTTTGTCTCTGGCGCCTTTGCGCCTTAATCGCCCAACAATTAGTTCCAGAGTTGGGCTTAATTTCTAGTTGTTCGTTTTTTTATGTGGCCAGTGTGGTCCTAAATCTCCAAAAATTCCCCAATAACTTTAAAATTACAAAAGTTTTTGAGAAGAAACATGAATGATAGTCTACATTTTCTCTATAGGTAGGGTAATTGTTTAGACTAAAAGTTTGTTTGTGTCTAGAAAGTTAAAAGAAGCCAAGGTAGAGCAAAACTTGACTTTCTTTGGCCCGGCTACCTTGGCTGTAATTCGCCAATCAAGTGCGAAAGTTAGGCTTCGCCGCTGGTAGTTTGGCCCTAGCGCCTTTGCGCCTAAATCGCCGAACAAGCTCCGTCTTTAGTGCAGGTTCTTCGGTTAATACGTGGCATATTTCTCTGGACATTTATAAATTATGTTGTTAGCCACAGAAAAATCATAGAAACACGAAAGAAAGAGTAGCTAACGTCTGTGAGCAAAACCGCATAAGACCCAAAAGTAGCCCCCATAGAATTGCCAAGCTTGTGACAAGTTAGGCAATTATCTTTCGTGGCACTTAGATTCGTACCTAGGAAATCACTTTGCTGGTTTCAAGAGCGTATGGGTGGCTAGGCTCACCAAGCACAAAGTTGGGCCCGAAGTTCAAGGAGCGTGCTAATTTGACTCTTGCCACGATGGCTTCACGGCGGACGAGATGTCAATCATCCAAACTCTCTCGGCGCTCAAATGCCTGGATCGACATTAGCGACCCAGGAAGAGCAAAACTGTTCGTACAAACCGATATTACCACCGACTCTGTATATTCTAATGCGGAGTGGAAGAATATATATTTTTTAAATCCACTTTAGCAGCTTGGCACAAATTTACTATTTACTACCCACCATTTAGCAGATTTGTCCTTCCAACTATTGGGAAAAGAAAGAACGCTTTGCGGGGTAGTAAATTCTCATGACTCAACCAAGTTATTCGAAACAAAAACAACCGGCATGTTCTGAAATAGCTTCTGTTATTTCTGTTATATATGGGTCGTAACTTGTATCTCGTATATGCTTTCTGTAATTATTTACAAGAAACAAACATAGAGCATCAGTTCAAAATATCCGGACAAAGTTAATATGCCGCTTATTTAAGAAGTGCTCACCTTACAAGCGGAGAGTTTACGTTATTATTTATTATTCAAAGGACCAGATTGTCGACAAAATGGGGGCATATTCGAAGTCTACCAGCGGTTGGACATTGCTTTTCGTTTGAAATTTGTGCGCATAATGATCGATAGTTGTAGAACCTAAAACTTTAAGATGCGCTAGCAGTTTCCGCATATAAGACCCCATTAACCTCTTCCAATCCGGAGCTAACAGATTCCAGGTGTGAATGGAATTCGGACTCAAGCATGATTTGCGATTGGGGCCACATTGCAAGCCCGGTATATTTCGAGAATATCTCAGAATTTATTCAGTCATTCGGCATTCCCTCAGTCGCACACATTCAATCCGATCTTAATTTTGAGCATTAGGGCGCCCTGCCGAACCTTGAAGCAGAGTTCGCGGCCTAAGGCCTCCTGAAAGGAACTGTCCAGTTTTCCTGTTTGTAAGTACCAGAGGCGGGTTTACTGCAAGAGACAGTGGGATTCCTTCGATGTTTTTGGGGACGCGGTGCACTCATTACATATTGGCCCTGCTTTCGGCCCGCGCAGGTGTCTCTGGCGGCCTGGCGGAGCAGCAGTACGGCGAGGAGGAGGGCGGCGGCGCGCTGAGCGGCGTGGCCCTTGCCCTGTGCCTGGGCGCGCTCATCGGCGCCACGGCGGTGGGCAACGCGCTCGTCTGCCTGTCGGTGTGCCTGGTGCGTCGCCTGCGGCACCCGTCCAACCACCTGCTCGTGTCCCTGGCGGCCTCGGACCTGTGCGTGGCCCTGCTGGTCATGCCGCCCGCGCTGCACCTGGAGCTCACGGGACACCGCTGGGACCTCGGGAGGGCCGCCTGCGACGCCTGGGTCTCGGTGGACGTGGCCTCGTGCACCGCCTCCATCCTCAACCTGTGCATGATCTCCGTGGACCGGTACCTGGCCATCACGAGGCCCCTGACCTACGGCGTCCGCCGCACCGCCAGGCGAGCCTGGGCCTGCATCGGCGCCGTCTGGCTCCTGGCAGCGCTGATCAGCGTGCCTCCGCTCCTGGTGCTGGGCAACGAGCACGGCTCTGCGGAGAGGCCCACCTGTCTCGTGTGCCAGCACCTGGCCTACCAGCTGTACGCCACGCTGGGGGCCTTCTACATTCCGCTGCTCGTCATGCTCGTCATGTACTGGCAGATCCACCGGGCCGCCAAGCGAGTCGTCGAGGCCGAGCATCGTGCGCGCCCCGGTCCACGTACCAGGAGCCTGCGACTGGCGCTGCGCGAGCGCAAGGCCTCCATCACGCTGGGCATCATCCTCACCGCCTTCACGGCTTGCTGGCTGCCCTTTTTCGCGCTGGCGCTCATCGTGCCGCTGGGTGGCGTGCCTCTGCCGGAGACGGTGCACAGCTTCGCGCTCTGGCTGGGCTACGCGAATTCGGCGCTCAACCCGGTGATCTACGTCACCTTCCACCACGACTTCCGCAGGGCCTTCCGGGACCTGATCTGTCTGCGATGTGCGGGGAGGAACGCGACGGCGCGGCAGAAGCGGCAGCCGCAGGAGTATCCGCTCGACTTCTACATTCCGGGCTCTAACGACCGCTTGTGTAGGTGCGCGGGGGACGTGTTTGTGTGGAAGGTGCGCAAATGACTACGTGATGTGTGTCCGTGGACAAAAAGACGCGAAGTTCGAGACGTTTGAATAAACTGTTAGTGTTGACTACTTCCACGCCGTTCTTCACATTTACTTGTTCTTCAGTTCGTGCGCGTGGCATTCCGTTTTATTCACTCCACTTTGTGTGACACTCTGACCGACTTCTTTATTGGTTTGATTTATTCCATTCGTTATGAGCGAATGTTTATTCTGAGCCAATTTACGCGCGGTGGCTTAGGAGCGTAGTACTCTTTCAGTAAAAAAAAAAGGACGAACAGTGGTGTCACCCTGTTACTCTTGAAATAAAGTTTGTCCAAAAAAACTGTGAAAGTTAGATTATTCACAAATAATGAATAAAAGCTCCCAGTTGGAGAAGGCTTTTTAGCCTACAGATGAGAAAGGTTTGCTCTCAAAATTCTTTGAGATAATCGTACTCCACAAAAAAGCGAGAAGTCGTTTTTCGTCGTTGAAATGAGAATGCCTCCGAGAATCTACCAAAAGCAAGCGGGCCCTGGGACATGAAAGGACTGCTCGTTAATTTTAAAGCAGGGAGACAAGGAGACAAAGAAGCCATAAAGGATTTTGCGCAATCTATGTAACCATTAAGAATTTTTTTTTTTTTTTTTAAGAACAGCGCGTTAGTGATTTATTTGGGGCGAATTGCTAGGGATGCGGCTATTCGAGCCTGCGAGTGAGGGATTTTTAGGGAACGTGACCGGTAGCGTGGACGCAAGGCGGTAGCTATGGGAGGTATTCACTGCACGCCATATTTGAGGACGCTCTTTAAAGCTCATGAGTGAGTGAGACAACTTATTTGTTAAAGGAAGGGATACATCACGATACATGCTCAGAACGAGCTCATATTATTAGGCTGCCAAGGTAGGCAATCTCGATGTTGTGGAATGCGCGTTGTAAAAGAACCGTGGAAGCTCGCCGTCAGCACGCGCTCAGCATTCGCGCACACAGCTATGGCCGCCAGTGAATACACCATATAAAAGTACCTAACGACACAGAAGCTCGTGCTACAGCTCACGTGCTTCTAACTGCTGCATGTAGTTGCCATGGGAACTTTCAAGGAGAAAGCAAATCTTCAGGGTTGCTACGTACACGCTAAAAATAACACCTTTTTTGACTTACACCTTTTTGTCCCATATAATGCACCCCACAACTTCAGTTCGATCTACAGCGCACTATAGTCGAATAGACGGCCCCAATTTGTACCACGGGCTTGATGACCGGTGCGATATAATAATATAATAATAATAATAGCTTTATTTCCATTACAGGTAATGGCGGAGCCGAGAAAAAAAGCCGCACTAGGCGGCTTGACGAGCTCTCGGCCCCAGTACATTCTGCAGCAGCAGTGGAAACTTTAGTTTATACAAAAGATAATAACAAAACAAGAAAAAAACGCATACTTTTTAGGGTTTGACAATAAAGCGTGATAATATCTACGTTGATAAATTAAGCAAAGTGATACGTAGCCCTTTCAGAGGTGTTTCATGCAGGCAAACATCACATGAATGCAAAAAGTTGAGAAGCCTTGGGATACGGTAGGCCAACATTTCCATCCCGGAATTCAATCGGCAAGTAGGTACTTGCCAAGGATCAGAGTTTCGAAGCGTATATGGTGCTACATGTTGCTGCAAACAAGATAGATCAATCAAGAATGAAGTATTATTTTGTGCTTCTGCCTTAAGCCTTAAGGAAAGTCTATAATTGTAAAGCTCATGAACACTAAGTACATTATATCTTTTAAACAAGCTTTCTGTGTGTGATAAATAACTTGTATTTGCAATAATCCGTAGCATTCTTTTTTGAAATAAGTATATTTTTTCTAGGTTCGTTGCCGTAGTTGTGCCCCAGACCTATGAGCAGTAATTTAGGTATGAATAAAACAGTGATTTATATAACAACATTTTGACAGATGGTGGAAATGTATATCGATGGTGGCAAACTAATCCAATAGTTTTTGACAATTTCCTACATAAATCCTGAATATGTAAGTCCCATGACATATTCTGAGAGAAAACAACTCCCAACGTTTTAAAATTGTCGACCAATTCGATTTCGGTAGAGTCAAGAATAATTGGCTCTATAGATTCGAGAACTTTATTCTTAGGACGGAACATAACAGCCTTTGTTTTATTTATGTTTATTTTCAAAGCGTTCTTATTAGTCCATAGAAACATTTCCCCCAGTACTGAGTTTATTTTATGTACAAGCTCATCTGCATCCTTAACCTTGTAAAGTAATGTCGTGTCGTCTGCGTACATTACAAATTTTATTGATGGGTCAATATTTAGGATGTCGTTTACATACACATTAAAAAGAAAAGGACCTAATATACTTCCTTGTGGTACTCCAACAACTATCGGTTTTATTACAGAAGAAAAGTTATTGTAGCACACATATTGCTTTCGGCTTTCTAGGTAAGACTGGAGCAGAAGTAAAGCCTGACCCCTGACACCATAAGATTCGAGTTTTAGTAACAGCAATTTATGATTCAAATAATCGAATGCTTTCGTGAAATCAACATAAACCGCAAGCACTAGTTTTCGATCCTCAAGACTTCTTAAAATAAATTCTTTTTCTTCAAGGAGGGCTAGTTCAGTTGAACGATGTTTACGAAACCCGAACTGCGATTTGGTAATTAAGCTGTGCTTATCAAAAAAATTTACCAGACGTGCATAAATAACTTTTTCAAGTCCTTTCGAGAAAACAGGGAGAATCGACACTGGCCTATAATTGTCGATATCGTTCTTATCACCTTTCTTGTGCAGTACACAGACTTTAGCAATCTGCATACGTTTGGGAAAAACGCCAGCCGATATGCACAAGTTAAATATATGCGTTAAGTATCGTGCCACTAAAGGTACAACATATTTCACAGGTTTGATCTGGATATCATCTATGTCTCTGCTTTTCGTATTTTTTAGGTTTATAAACACATTTGATACCTCGAACTCGGTGACAGGATCCAAGAAGATTGAATTCATGTTCCTATTTTTAATATATTTGCAGGCATCTGAATCATGTGTCAAAGTAGCCAGGTTAACAAAGTGATCATTAAATGCATTAGCCAGATCAGTACCCTTGAGTCCTTTGCCATTTACGCGTAGGGTTTCAACGTAGTCATGCGCCCTATTGTCTTGTAGGACTGAATTAACCTTTTTCCAAATTTCGTCCACACGTCCATTGGGTGACTTAAAACTATTGTAGTAATAACGGGTCCTGGCATTTCGAAGCTCCTTTGTCAGCTGGTTCCAATAATATTTGAATTTCTTAAGGTCGTCTGGATTTTTCGATCTGTTAAATTTCTGAAAGAGGCGATCTTTTATATTGATTTTAGCTAGATGATCTTGGGTAATCCAAGGCTTTCGAATTTTACCTGATTTTTTAATTTTCTTATAAGGAAAGTTTTTTGCATAAAGAATTTTGAACTGGTCCAGAAATACATTGTAAGCTACATCGGGATCTGTTGCGTTAAGAACGTCATTCCAGTTTTCATTTGCAATATCATTACAAAACCTTTCAAGATTATCAGGTGTAATAACTTGAAAATATATAGGTGAGTGCACACTATTTTTGAGACAACGTGCATCTTTTATGCATAGGAATATTGGGAGATGGTCGCTAATATGAGACATAAAAATCCCTCCTTTTAGGCGGGTAACCTCAGCGTTTGTTATAAAAAGGTCGATACAGGTCTCCGACTGCTGTGTAATCCCTGTTGGCTTCGTGATTACGTTGACACATCCATATGTTGTAAGCAACATTTCTAACTCAATACTAGGCATAGCACACAGCAGCATATTGATATTAAAGTCCCCGCCAATTATCACGTTCAGGTTGTTGTCACTAACGAATCCCAGAAGGCTCTAAAAAAATGCTAAATAATTTGAAACGTTACCGTCTGGTGGACGATAGACGACAGAGATAAGCATATCGCCTGATATGAGTGATAACACCTCGTAATCATGGGTAATCATACAGAAATTTGGCAATAAATTATGTGACATGCTTTCATCTATCAATACTGAAACACCTCCGCCACGACTAAAGGTACGATTTAAACATAAGCATTTGTACGATGGCAAATGAAATGCATCCGCTTCGTCAGAATACCACGTTTCAGTTAACATGATCACATTAAATCGAACTGAAAACTGGCTAAAAAGACATTCAAGATCTGCCGCCTTATGCTTAGCTGACCGTACGTTCAAGTGAAATGCTTTGAATGATGAATCAAAACTACGACCAATATGTTGCACGATATCAACAGGAAGCAAGTATGAACACTCTGCCATAACTTTTTTTTTTTTTTTTTATTAAACAAGAGTTGAAGGCGAGCAAGAATTTGATCAGGAAACTATCGCTTGCAGATCATCCTCGCACCTTATCACAAACCCTCGTTCACCACTTTGGCGACGAACGAAGATCTTTCCGTCCTTGTGCCAGACGTAAGTAAAATCTGCACTTTTTGCCCAATCTTTTGCCTTGGCCAGTAATTCTCTGTTTTGTTTGGTCATGTTCTCATTGATGTAAAGTTTGTTCCCGATGGTACGAAGTCTAGCCTTCCTGCTCAGCCACAGGTCTCTTGTCAGTTGAGATACGAACCTGACAATAATACCTGGTGTCCTGTCAGACTTTGATGGCAGTCGGTGAATTGCCGCTACGTCGGAAATATTCAGTGCAGAAACGTCTAGGCTGCGCGCTACTTCATTGACCTTGTTCAACAAGTCTTCACCGTCAGTCTTCGGAACACCATGGAATTCCAGATTCAGCCTGCGACTTCTCCATTCAAGCTCGTGAAGTTCAGTTTTCATTTTGCTAAGCTCGTCTTTTTTGTTAGCGTTTTCGATTTTTTCAACCCGCCTCTTTAAATCCTTTATATCTTGCTTCTGCTCAGTAATATGGCTCAGTATTTCATCATATTTGTCTGGCATAACTTGCACTGACGCTTCAATGTTACCAACTGTTTCCTTTAGGGCTAACAGATTATCTAATTTTTCGTTCATGGCCGCTAACAAGACCCACATGTCACCATCTTGCCTCTGTTTACTTGTCGCGCCACCTTTTAGTTTAGCTGCTCGGCAAGTGGGACACTTCCATGCTTTACGGTATGCTTCTCCTTTCGTTTTTAGCGTTGTTTCGGAAATTCCCGCACAGTTTCCGATGTGGTACGGGTATTCACATTCACAGCACGAAATAGACTGCTCCCTATGGGGTATCTCCTCTTTACATTTTGAACACAATGCTTCCGCCATATATACGAAACACTCGCCGACAAAGCAATAGAAACACCGCTGGCAGCAACAGCAACGTGAAAAAAAAAAAAAAAAAAAAGTAATACACTAATATGCCAACCAACCTGCAATGGCAGAGGAGCGGTTAGCCCGGTGTTCGTTGCTTGTTGCCGCTGCTGCCAGAAATGACGTGTTCGGCGCTCGGGCTGCCCTTTTATCGCCTAGACAAGGCACTGCACCCGGATGACGCTGGAGGTTGATTTGCGGGGGCGGGACTGTGCTCGTGGCCTCCAGCAGTGCAGACTGTGATGCAGATGGGCCAGCAGCCTGACTTGCGTCGCAGTTGGAACCGCAGCGTTGGGTACGTCGATGCTCACTGCAATGGCAGAGGAGCGGTTAGCCCGGTGTTCGTTGCTTGTTGCCGCTGCTGCCAGAAATGACGTGTTCGGCGCTCGGGCTGCCCTTTTATCGCCTAGACAAGGCACTGCACCCGGATGACGCTGGAGGTTGATTTGCGGGGGCGGGACTGTGCTCGTGGCCTCCAGCAGTGCAGACTGTGATGCAGATGGGCCAGCAGCCTGACTTGCGTCGCAGTTGGAACCGCAGCGTTGGGTACGTCGATGCTTACTGCAATGGCAGAGGAGCGGTTAGCCCGGTGTTCGTTGCTTGTTGCCGCTGCTGCCAGAAATGACGTGTTCGGCGCTCGGGCTGCCCTTTTATCGCCTAGACAAGGCACTGCACCCGGATGACGCTGGAGGTTGATTTGCGGGGGCGGGACTGTGCTCGTGGCCTCCAGCAGTGCAGACTGTGATGCAGATGGGCCAGCAGCCTGACTTGCGTCGCAGTTGGAACCGCAGCGTTGGGTACGTCGATGCTCACTGCAATGGCAGAGGAGCGGTTAGCCCGGTGTTCGTTGCTTGTTGCCGCTGCTGCCAGAAATGACGTGTTCGGCGCTCGGGCTGCCCGTTTATCGCCTAGACAAGGCACTGCACCCGGATGACGCTGGAGGTTGATTTGCGGGGGCGGGACTGTGCTCGTGGCCTCCAGCAGTGCAGACTGTGATGCAGATGGGCCAGCAGGCTGACTTGCGTCGCAGTTGGAACCGCAGCGTTGGGTACGTCGATGCTCACTGCAATGGCAGAGGAGCGGTTAGCCCGGGGTTCGTTGCTTGTTGCCGCTGCTGCCAGAAATTATATAGCTAAACTACATATAAAAAAGCACAGATAGAAAACACTGAGGTTTTGTGGTAAGGCCAAGGAAACTCCGATTATTTCTCTTGTAGTCAGTAACGCGTACATTAGGTATTTTAGTAAGTTGTGCCACGTGGCTATCAAGCCTCTCGTAAAAGTTAGTACCCTCAGTTCGAAACCGGTGAGCTGTACGTCGAACTGAAGTTTTGGGATGTATTACATGGGACAAGGGGTGTCAGAATACACCCTTTTTTTTTCTGAGAGTATACAAACGCCCATGCGCTGAGAATAGCATATATCAGATGAAAAATATTCCAATATCTACCTCCTAAAAGATTATTTAAACGATCAAATAAAAATGGAAAAAGCGGTTTTACAACCTGAAATGGTTTTACGCCTTATTTGGAAGCAATTACATAAGTCTCTATCGTCATTTGATTTTGGTACAACTAAAACCGGCGTACTCCTCTTCTACCAGTGGCAACACTGTTAATTCTTTTCGGGGGGAGCTCCCTCGGGAGGGATGTGCGTGACGTCAGCGATCGGCAGAGCATGCACGTTTCCCTCCCCGGCTCTGCATGCAGACGGACGGCGAGCCACGACAGGTCGCGCCATCTGGTGCACAACTTCCGCAACGATGGGAAGTCCGGTTCGTTATTTGCACCGTTGAAGATGCTGTACTTTCGTTGGCATAGTGAACGATAGTACAAATAAATGACCACCGTCCTTCTTTTCTTTTTTTTTTTATACAGTCTGCGATTAAAACTGTACCGTGTGTCATCAAAAACGTTTGAACAGTGAACGCGAGAAACGCGGGTCCCTTGATTTACGTGCATGGGGAGGGGGGGGTACAAGGTAACAATAATGTTTGGAGATAAAATGCTGCATATTTTACCTGTTGTAGCTATTTCCTGAGCTTTGCGATCACTTAATGGTTACTGTGGTTCGATCATTCATTTGTTTGGTTGAAGCGCTCAGTTGAAACCCTTCAAGCTGTACACTCAACCTTTTTTCCAGCCCCACTATTGTAAAAAAAATGGTAAATAAACGTGGAATTGAACTCAAGCCCCAGCCGCACGCCATAACGTTCTGGCGTGCGGCCGGCGGAAGGAATGAGTCAAGTGGTGGGTATATTTTTCACTTTAATTTCTTCGATATACCAAAATAGCGATCTGACTCGGCTGTCTTCGTGGCGCTTGATATTGTTAGTTGGCAAAAAGTTTCTAGGTGTTACTCGCAGATTCGCCGAGTATTATTTGTTGTTTGATCGATGCTGACTATTAATTGGTTAAACAATGTGAAGTGATTTACTTAGTCTAATGCAAAGCCGAGATTTTGTGCCTATATAGTATGCGTATTTATCTAAGTGGTGCGTAAACTACGTAGTTTTAATACCGCCATATACCTGAAAAACACTTCTGTTTAAAAAAATAATATATATACATATATATATATATATATATATATATCCAAAACCTTAATAACGCGCTTTTCAAACCCATCGCCCACTTATGCTCTGCGGGCAACATGTTTCGCACCAGCTAATTCTTCTCGTAACACTGTTTTTAATTTGTGTGGTCATGCTGCGATGCACCAACTTGGCAGTCAATACATTTTAATTAGCTTTCACTTCTGTCGAAAGAAATCAACCTTTAAAGTTTTTGAACCAGCCATATATTAATACCACTTAAGCCCTCCTAATCGTAAACAATTTAAAAAAAAGGATGGTAATGCAATTAAATTAGTCAGATAGAAAACAAACTAGACATAAATCAAGCTTCTTGCAAATTATCAAACATAATAAAATAATAATATGAATAAACTTTACCTTTTTTCAAACACATTTCCGAGTTGCCACAAAATAGAAGATTATGTATACATAGAAAAAAAACTAAGAGCACGCCGACACAGAAGTCAACCCGATGCATCGTTGCGTGAGTGCCTGGTGCGTCAGAGCGCATTCAATTCATAATTCAGGATAAGCCCGGAGCATTATGCCCACAATACCAAAAGAACACCTCCGTTCCACCTCAGACAAACCATATAGGCACCAAGGAATCCTTTGGGAGTTAACAGCGAGGAAGGGGGAAGGCGAAGCAGACGACGCGCCGGCGAGAGCCCATCGTTGCGCTCCTTTGCCGGTAGAGGCGCTGACTATCGCCCGACTACGGCGCCTCGTAGACATCTGCCCTGAGGCTATACGGTTTTAGCGGTCGCACTCTCAAAAACAGGGCTCGGTGTGCGCTGATGAGATTAGGAAACTGAAGGCGTATGCATGAAACAGCGGTACGCAATCATGGTAACAGCGTTGTTACACACAAAAGGCGACAAACCACTTCCTGCTACTAAAAAAAAATAAAACGCTCATGCCCTGAGCATGACTAGTATATTCCGTGTCTCCTGTTTTATCATTTTTCCTGATATTCATGAGCCCACCTGCGACCTCAATCCTCGTTTATTTAATAAAAAGATGCTGGGTGAAAGAGCGATGCCACGTAAGAAACATGAAATTCAAAACCAGTTGTATGAGAAGCTGCTTGAGGCCAAGATGAATGAAAATCGAAGTATCTTCATGTACATCGGACGACATGCGCAAGCCACAACAGGTTAGGCGATCACGATACCACTGGCGGTATTCTGCAGAGCAGGACCTGTAAGGTTGCTAGACATGCGAACAAAGTACCGTCAATTGCGAAGAGATCTCTCGCCAAAGCTGGAGCTGTTTAATGCAGCGGCAAACAAAAAGCTCCCCCATTTCCCAGGGATGTCTACGTCATCGCGCATAGCACTAAGGCGTGACGTTGTCACCCCTGGTGCACATCCCGGAAAGCAAAGGGAGGAATTTCTTTCCCGTGTGAATGTCCCTTTAATAGCTTTGCTTACCGTGTGATCACGTGCTTCCTTCTGCCTGTTTCCGACCGATTGCCGCACCGTTCCACCGACATACACAAAAGGGAGTTTTAGCGAGTTGTTTTACGAACCGACGGTTTCGAAATCACGAACAGTGCACCTGGTCCGTTCCGTGAAACCTACGTGAAAGTTGACATATTTTAGCGAATCGTGAAACTGGCGCAACCTTCTAAACGATTATGATGATTGCGTTTAACCGCGGCACCATCTTCTAGTAAATAACATGTGAAATATTCTGCAACGTGTAAATCCGTAGCGGCACGTGTTTCCGGCGTACGACTGATGTAAACAAGGCGGCCGATGTAACATTTGCCGGTCGGAATTTCAAGAACTGCGAAGCTAGATAGAGTAAAAAGGATCTGAACGACCGTAAAGGTATGTGGTGTGTCTCCGTCATCTTGAACTTGAACGATCGTTCACGTTTGTGCCGTCGAACCAAATCATTTCGTCTGCTCGCAGTCGCCACGGCAGCTAGTCTGCTCGCAGATCGCAAACATTTACTGCCATGCGCAGTTTTTTTACACCCGTGCGTCGACTGTAGCGCCGCCTGGAATGGCCCAAGATAGCAGGCGACATTCTTCAAAGGATGTCACTACTTTTCCGTATGAAGGCGTTTTAGGCGATGCCACTTATGTGATTGCTTCACTACGAATGATTGTAGTACGGTAGTAGTCATCGCAACACTAATCACGCAGACACTTTGTAGAAGTGTCTCCCGTGCGAAACGGCGCCGTGTTGTTTGCAGACCGGTGGCGTCGCTGCGTTTCCATAGGAGCTAAGCCTTTTTCTTTCTTTACTTTTTCCTCAGGTAAGTTCGCTCTTCGCAAAGTTTACAGAAAAAAATGCACCATCTGTGGGCACTACTGCACAAAGTCGATAGGTTAAGAAACCGAATTTTCCGGTCGATTTAAAGAGCCTGGCGTCTCCTTGTTTCACCCTGTAGTTCATTGTGGCCGTACCAAGTGTTGGCGCCTATCGCCTAAGGTTTCCGCTGACGGAACAACTTAGCTCCCGACAAAAGGAGGAGTCTGAGTGTAAAATCCGGATGACGCCACCAGTATTTTGCTAGCTCCAAGCGTGACGTGCCATTCAAAAACAGCTTAACAAAAAGAAAAGAAAAAAAAATGTGGGAAGAGGAAAAAAGTACAGAAACAGGTGGGCGTACTTGGAGCTATCCATTTCGTCTTTTCGTAGATTGTCCTGTAGATTGATAATAATATTTTCATCCTTTATGATGGTGGGGCCCAAGAACAAAGGCTGCAGTAAGAAGCTTGACGAGTCCCTGGGCCCAACAATGGACAGCAGGAAGCGTGCGGGAAAACAAACTAAAAGCAACAGAATAGCGTGCTAGGGGCAATGATGTAAGAAATCAGTGCACAGAACTAAAATCACCTTTTGCAAATGTTAAGAGAGAAAATGGTCACGTACAAGCATATAATAAGCGCAAGCCTCCAAAGGTTAGAATTTCTAGATCAATATGTTATTGCTGTTAAGGCTGTTTAACAAATGCGGGAATGTGCAGCTTATCATTTGAGAGCCATAATTTGTTCGCTGCGTGACCATTTTCCAATTTTCTGGGTTACGGCTAGGATACGGAGGAAAAGTTTACCTCAGCGACGCAAGGTTTTGCAAAAGACATGCACCTCTTGTTTTTTCACTTTTATAACCAGTAGAAAGCCGATACTGATATAACTTGTGAATAGTGATTATATTAAAGTTCTTAAATAAATCAGCGGCATGAAAGTCGCGAAATGTTCTTCCCAGGGTTGCAAAATATATGTGAGATACTGAGTATAAAATATCAAGAAATGTATTTAAGACAGAGTAGCCAATAGTGTAAACTAAATGTATTTGCAAGATACCAAAATACTACCATAAGTATCTGAAATAGAATATTTTGAGTAGAGTATTTAAGATAGGCATAAGTCTCTTCTCACCACTCTCAGAGATATTTCGCGTAGTCATCGC